GACTTGTACATCTCATTGTTGCAATGGGTCCACCTGTATCCCTATTTAAACGATTTGTTTTTCCCTTCCCCTCCACAAATTATACCAACATCATATACAGTGAAAGCAGGGGTTATACCGTGGGGGAGGGACATACAAAGCAACACAGAAATCATCTTATAAATATGTTAGACACAATAGCAAGAAAGAAAAAACATTTGCGTTCCTTATGACATATGTTAACTGTACAAAGGAGTTTCATTGTGCTATTTCATACATGCCCACCCTGATCAAACTTACCCCTCTATCACTCTCCTTTTAATTCCCTTCCCACTTCTTAAAACAATTTCAACACATGTCATTGTGCCATTTCATACATGAGTATAAAGCACTTTAGCCATATTTGCTTTCCTTCCCCTCCCCACCCCCAGTGGTACCCAACCCTCTCATAGATCCTGTGTTATATTGCTGCTATTCAATTTTGAGTGAATATCAACTGTACAAAGGAGTTTCACTGTGGCATATCACACACGTGTATATTATACCCTAGTCAGATAGACCCTCTCTATTGATCTCTCTTTCCTTCTTCTCCCTACCTCCCTATTATTCAACTACTTTTAAGTGGATGTGAGAAGCAGTGCAACCTGCAAAAAGCAAGAGCCATCCGGTACCGGGGTGGGGGAGGTGGTAAGGGTGGATGGGGTGTGGTTAGTGAGAGAGCCCTGGGTGCGGATGTTAATATTTATTTTCATAAATATAACTTAAAGGGCTCCCACTGCCTATGCAGCACAGAGCCCAGGGCTTTTTGCTTTTCTGCTGAAGTCTAATTACATTCTTGCTGTTCTGGCTCCCCTGGCCTAGGATAAATTGCATATAAATTAAAGGGACAATTCCCTTCTTTATAGCATGTGAACCGATGCACGTTTTGAAGGTGTAGGTTGCAGCAAAATAGATATGTTTCAATCTGGAATAACCCAGGCAGACTGTGACTGCCAGTTCCATTCCTGTTCCTTTCCATTAGTACGACTCTCATAGCCCATTTTATTTACAAATGAAGCTGGCTTTCTTAAGAACAAGCAATGATAAAAGAGAAAAGTACTTGGTAATTATTCTCATATGCATATTTAAAATGAAAAATACTCCTTTAGACCATGAAAAAGATACTGATGACCCGCTGTCAAGCAAATATGCTAGAGTTCTTGAAGAACAGAGATAAGAAGTACTGACCCAATAACATAATTTAACTCAGTTATTTTATGATGCAAGATATACGTTTGCCAGACAGATGGCCTGGTTTAGGGCTCAGTCTGTAATTGTAAAACAGATTTTTTTCTAACTCAAACATATAATCATCTAGTATAGAACTTAACCCTTTTACCACCAAGGTCAAATAAATGATATAACTCTCTTTGCCACCATTTATAGCCCTGGGTTTCCAGCTATTTGGATTCATGTTACTGATTGTCCCAGAATGAGTCATGTAAGAACCAAATAAGCTAGACAGTCACACACAGTGAGACCAAAGGAAGAAACTCTTAGGGGAAGAATACAAAGGTGTGCCTCTGATCATATAAAATATTATTTATCAAAATGAACTCCAGGAAATGGAAACAAGGGATTTTTTTGTCTTGTTAGTCCATTACCTGTCTTTGGGGGAAAAGGGGGCAGAGAAATGGAGGGACATGGGGTGAACCAATGCAGCAGTGCTACTGCCTAGACATTATGTTGAAAATGAACTATATGAATTGTGGGCAGGGATGGGAGAAGAAAACTGGGAGAGAGTGAGAGAAGGGGTGACATAGTCCAAAAAGAAAGGTACTCCTCACCTGACTTATAAAATTGTAACCCCTCTGTATATCACCTTTCTTTTTTTTTTTCTGATTATGTGGTGCTGAGGAATCAAAACCAGAGCCTCATGCAAGCAAGGCAAGCGCTCTACCACTGAGCCACCTTCCCAGCCCCCACCTTTCTAATAACAATAAACAAAATTAATTTTATAAAAGAACTAAATAAGCCGGGTGCCATTGGATCGTGCCTGTAATCCTAGCTATTCAGGAGAATGAGATCTGAGGTTCAAGGTTCAAAGCCAGCCCGGGCAGGAAAATCCATGAGGCTCTTATCTCTAATGAACCACCAGAAAACCGGAAGTGTTGCTGCGGCTCAAGAGGTAGAGTGCTAGCATTGATCTGTACAGCTCAGGGACAGCACCCAAGCCCACAGTTCAAGCCCCACAACTGACAAAAAAAATCATCAAGGTATTTTTGAATGCAGTTTTCATTTGGGATTTCCCACAAGCAAACCCTTTAGATAATGATTTGAGTTTGAGTATCTGGGATCCATTCGTGAGAAGGAGTCTGAGCAGCAAAACAGAAGGGAACACAGCCAAGTGTGTGTGTGTGTGTGTGTGTGTTTTCAAGTGAGTTACACTGAAGGTAATGAGCTTAACATCCCCCCAAAGTGTCAGAGCCAATGTAGCACGTACAAGGCAGAGCTATGCCATAGGACCAAAGGAGTCAAGGTGCTGAAGCACTGGGTAAGAGCTGCTTAGGAGGCCATGTGACTTCTTGGGTAATGTCAGCCTTCTCTGCTCATGGCTCTTGATTTGAAGGCCTGAACAATGCAGATGCTGACAGGTGGAAGTTGGGCTGATATGCCCCGCAGTGGTAATGGGATTGTGGGCATAACATCAATTGTGTCTGATCCCAACGCTGATTTTTAAAAATCGCTTTTTTTCAACTATTACAAAATACTTTGTGTGTGTATGTGCGTGTGTGTGTGTGTGTGTGTGTGTGTGTATGTGTACCAGTATTAGGGCTTGAACTCAGGGCCTGAGCCCTGTCCCTTAGCTTATTTACTCAAAGTTTGTGCTCTACCACTTGAGTCACAGCTCGTCTTCCAGCTTTTAGGTGATTAACTGGAGATAAGAGTCTTCAAGACTTTCCTGCCTAGGTTGGCTTTGAACCATAGTCCTTAGATTTCAGCCTCTTGAGTAGCTACAGTTACAAGCATGAGCCACCAGTACCTTGCATAAAAGATTTTTGATGTTAGTGTATGATATTAAAAAATAAGATTATAGGTCTGGGAAAGTGGCTCAGTGGTAGAGCGCTTGCCTTGCAATGCATGAGGCCCTGGGTTCAATTCCTCAGCACCACATAAGCAAAAAGAAAAAAGCCGGAAGTGGTGCTGTGGCTCAAGTGGTAGAACACTAGCCTTGAGCTGAAGAGCTGAGGGACAGTGCCCAGTCTCAGAGTTCAGACCCCACAACTGGACCCCCCCAAAAAATATAAAATAAAAAATAAGATTATAATGGCCATTACACAGTATTTTCCTGAAAAGCTTATTTTCAATTGATTCCAGGGTTTAGCTCTTTCATTATCATCTATATGCCTCAAATGCCAGATAAAGAACAATGCCAACTCAAGCAGGAATGAGAACTTTAACCTAAAAGCTCACAAGCAATGTTGTTCAAGGTGTATGATATATTTGCTAGCGAGCATTTGATTTAATCCACTTTGGAACTTGCTTTCATGTCTGCTTTGTTGCATGTACTTTCTCCCTGTCTTCTAGCTGCTCATCCTTGTCAAGAGTCTGTAGTTTATATCGTCCATATCAGCAGACAGCTGATGTGAAACTAACCACTCGTTATCCTAAACTGGCTCAAATGAGAGTTGACAAAATGAAAAAAGGTTATGTAAAGGATAAGGAAGCAAAGATGTATGCAAAGACTGTAAGTTTCACTTTCATTAAAGCCATTGTTTTGAACAATATGTTTAAATACCTCTAATTCTATTTTCATAAGTAGGGTTTTTCAAATCCACAAGTTCAAGGCTGAAACACCTTTGGTATACTGTATACCTTTGATAGTACTGTAACACATATTTTTAAAAAAATTCTTAAAGGACCAGGTGTGTTAGCACGTGACTATAATTTCTCACCTACCTACTTGTGAGAATTTCAGTTTGAGGCCAGCCAGAACAAACAAGCCAGGTATGGTGGCTTATACCTGTAATCCTGTCTATATACAGAGGCACAAAGTAGGAGGATCATGGTCCAAGGCCAGTGCTAGGTAAAAACACAAGACCCTATCTGAAAAATAACCATAAAAGTCAGGCACCAATGGCTCACAACTCTAATCCTACCTACGAAGGAGGCTAAGATCTGAGGATCAAGGTTTGAAGCCAGCCCAGGCAGGAAAGTCAGTGAGACCCTTATCTCCAATTAACTACAAAATAGCCAGAAGTAAGCTGTGACTCAAGTGGTAGAATGCTTGCCTTGAGGAAAAGAAGCTTAGGGACAGTGCCCCCGCCCAGAGTTCAAGCCCAGGACTGGCAAAAAAAAAAAAAGATGAGTTAATGAATTTTATTCAATTTTTACATTTTAACCAATATCTGAACAGGCCATACTTAGCCAAAATATATACTTACATATATATAGTAATATAAGCCAAATATAAAGCACTTTCTGCTTTTATTTATCATTCCGCCTAGGTGCAAAAAACAGTCAAACCAAGTGAAAAACCAATAGTAATAGGGACGACAGTCTTCTCCACGCCATCTTTTGATATTGTGAAAGTTGAAAGATCCACTTCAGACGAATCAGAACAAGAAGAAAATAAGTTATTTAAGTGGTATCAAGACCTGAGTGTTCATCGGAGTTCATTATTGTAAGGTCCGCCCGGGGCCATGGCACCTCCCTGCTCCTAAGTCTGCGCTCAATACCTGCACTACCTAGGTAACTGGCACACCTGGAGGCAGTTACCCCCCCTCCCTGCCAGTGTGGCCACACCTTCCCTCATCTAGCCACACCCTCTCCTCCACCCCTTACCTTGATAACCCCAGCTAAGCAGCTCTGCACCTCTTTGGCCATGCGTCTCCAACCATGCACAGCTGGGCAGCAGTTCGGAATAAACTTCTCTATCCTACCTCATTACCGCATGGTGTTCTCTTCTTTGGCTACCTAATTTAATCTAACGATTATGATGGCATAGAGCTAATTGACAGAAAATCAAAAATGTTTATCAAAATGCTTACTTGTGTATAAAGGACAGATAAAAATATCCTTTTAACCAAATGCATGACATATTTGTAAGCTCTTTTGTATTACCAGAGGTGCAAATATTTGGGGGGCAGAACTAGGATTTGAACTCAGGATCTCAGGCTTGCTAAGCTGGTGCTCTACCAATTGTGCCATGCTCTGCTTTTTGCTGGTTATTTTGGAGATGGAGTCTAGCAACTTTTCCTGCTAGGCTGGTCTCAAACCTCAGTCTTCCAGATTTTAGTCTACTGAGTAACTAGAATTATAGATATAAGCCATCAATGTGCAGTTAGGTGTCACTTTTTTGTTTACTGACAAGACTTTATTGTGATTCAGTGACTTCTATTAGGTATCTACAAACTAGATACCATGAGCCAGTGGCTCACGCCTGTAATCCTAGCTACTAGGAGGCAGAGATCTGAGGATCACAGTTCAAAGCCAGCCAGGGCAGGAGACTCCATGAGATT